TCTTGGGAGGGTTGGGTATTTTTTAATGTTGAGGTTGGAAAAAGTTCGGAAAATTAAACAAAAAAAAAAAAAAAAAAAAAAAAAAAAAAAAAAAGAAATGGCTCGATTATTAGGTGATTTATTTCTTGAAAGTGTTCTGATATCTGGATGTGAAATTTTCATATCAGAGTAATTTAAGAAATCTTGATTTATTGTTTTTTTTTTTTTGATCTGTAACAAAGTAATATAAATGATAAATTTGATAAATTTTTTTTATCAACATGAATTCAACGAAATTGAATATGCGAAATCAATTTGTTAATCAATAATTTATTTATCTTATAGTATCCTAAAAACGTTTTTATTAATAATGGTATCCTGAAAATAACTAGTATTGGACGTATTGAAATATTCAAAACAGATAGTTTTGAAAAAATTCCATACATTGAGCCTCGGACAGTGCGTACATTCAAGTTAGGAAGCTTCATAGAAAGTGGAAATGATTCTCAAGAATCTAATATTTATAGTTTAGGTATTTTACTTTGGTATATTTCTAGTGGTCATCGGCCTTATAGGACTTTTTCATATGACCAAATGATCATACATATTACAAATGGCGAAAGAGAGACAGTTATTCAAGGAACTCCGATCAAATATTCCAAATTATATCAATATTGTTGGCAAGATGATCCATGTATGTTATATAATGCTTTTTAACATTTTATTGGAAACATTCCGAAAATTATTATAATTATTTCAATAAAATTATTTAATTCCAGACGAACGTCCAAGCTGTAAGAAGATTTTGAATATTCTTAAGGATGTTAATATGAAAGATGTAACGTCTAGCACCATGGATAAAAGTCATCAAGAACTATCTGAGTTTAGTAAAACTAGCTTAATTTATAATGAGAAGATTATACAAGGAAACGATAAAATTAAACTTTTACAAGATTTTAACTTATGTAAAGGGTCAAAAATTTATGGAAATAATTTAAGTCCCGGAGAACAAATTCTCACTGAAGGTGGCGAACTTATTTCTTATGTAAAAAAAGACATGCGTGTTTATACAAATAGAATTCCAACAAACACACTAATAAGTAAAAGTGTTCTACGTTCTAGTCACAATATAGAGGAGAATCATATTCGTATACACATTCCTCTTCTTCAAATTGAATATAGAAATCAAATAGTCACTAATGAATTTACTGAAGTAATTGAAGAAGCGTTAAAAAGGTCAGATCAAATATCCGTTCATGAGACTCTTCAAAATATTTTTGAGAAATACGGTGAATACATTGTACAGAATATTGACATTGGTGGAGCACTCACGGTTAAATCATCTCTTGATGACGATCTATCGATTTCACCAGTCATTGAAATTCTGAAAGCACAAGTGTATTGGGTTTATGATGACGTTATATCAGGCAAAGTCAATGTATTCGATCGAATTCCGTTTAATGATCATTTTATATTGAAAGATGCACATAATAATGATAAAAGAATCCTTTATGGCTATGAATTAAAATCTTGGATGGAGGAATATTATGAGAACAAAAATGGATATATTATATCTTATAATAAAGTTATTCCAGCATATAATTTACTTAAAGATGAAATTAAAAAAAATGTAAAGAATGCACTTAAAAGTTCTAATGAAAGCACCTAATAATCGAGCCATTTCTTTTTTTTTTTTTTTTTTTTTTTTTTTTTTTTTTCAAATTTT